CCCGGTTACGTCAGTCAGAAGTCACTAAGTTAAATGTGGAGTCAGTTTGTAGATATGCTAGAACAATGTCGGACACCGTAGTTTTCTCTGGCCCCTTGCCCAACCTGGTTAGTGATGACATGTTTAGCCGCATGTCATCTTTCCGTCGATGGCTGGCGAGGTGGTGCCCAGCCAATGAGGTGGTCTTTGTGGATCACTGGCAGTCTTTCTGGGGAAGACGTGGCCTGATTAGGAGAGACGGCATCCATCCCACGGGGGAGGGAGCCGCTCTCATTTCTAGAAACCTAGCCAACATTGTTAGCAGACTAGATCGGTGACAGTCCAGGGTTGAGAGGAGGAAGCGGAGTTGTAATGTAACCCTCTTTTCTGCTCCTCCATTCCAGGAGTTATTTAGTGAAAAACCTATAGAGACGGTGTCTGTCCCCCGGTCATTTAAATTTTTAAAATTAAGGGTAAACAGAGGAGTTGTCTATAGAAACCTCATAAAAGTTAAAACCACAAGAGAAATAGTGCATGCAAATAAGAGAGTAAAATGTGGACTCTTGAATATCAGAGCTCTCTCTTCTAAAGGTGTGCTTGTAAATGAACTCATATCAGATTATAAGATTGATTTATTTTGTCTTACTGAAACCTGGCTGGGTGATGGAGAATATGTGAGCCTAAATGAATCCACCCCTCCCAGTCACAGGAATACTCACATTCCTCGAAGCACAGGTCGAGGAGGTGGAGTTGCAGCTATCTTTGACTCCAGTCTTGTAATCAGCTCTAAAGCTAAATTGAACTATAACTCTTTTGAAAGCCTTGTTCTGAGTCTTTCCCACCCAAGCTGGAAATCACTGCAACCTATTCTATTTATTATAGTGTACCGACCACCCGGTCCATACTCTGAATTCTTATCTGAATTTGCAGAGTTTTTGTCAACTTTAGTCCTTAAAACGGACAAAGTAATTATTGTAGGGGACTTTAATATCCATGTGGATGTTGAGAATGACAGCCTCAGTACTGCATTTATCTCTCTGTTAGATTCAATTGGCTTCTCTCAGAGTATTCATGAACCGACTCACTGTTTTAACCACACCCTTGATCTTGTTCTGGTGTATGGTATTGAAATTGAACATTTAATAGTGTTCCCACATAATCCGTCTTTATCTGACCACTGTTTGCTAACTTTTGAGCTTTTACTGCTGAATTACCCTCCACTGGGTAAAAATGTCTACTCAAGATGCCTGTCTGATAGTGCTATAGCTAAATTTAAGGATGTGATTCCATCAGCTCTACATCCATTATCAAGTCGTACAGAAACAGAGGACTCTTATGTTAATTTCAGTCCTTCCCAAGTTGATCATCTTGTTGATAGTGTTGAAGGCTCGCTGCGAACAGCACTTAACGCTGTAGCCCTCCTAAAGAAGAAAATTCTTAAACAAAGACGGTTAGCTCCATGGTATACTAGTGAAACCCGCAAATTAAAGCAGATATCTCGGAAACTTGAGAAGAACTGGCGTTCAACCAAGCTGGAAAAGTCTCGTTTATCTTGGCAAGATAGTCTTAAAGCTTATAGGAAGGCCCTCCGTGATGCCAAAGCAGCATATTACTCGTCTTTAATTGAGGAAAATAGGAACAATCCCAGGTTTCTTTTCAGCACTGTTGCCAGGCTGACTGAGAGCCACAGCTCTATTGAATCAAGTATTCCAATAGCTCTCACTAGACATGACTTCATGAGCTTCTTTAACGATAAAATTCTAGCTATCAGGAACAAAATCCACCAAGACTTGCCCTCAACTAGCATCGACTTATCTTTAAACTCAGTAACTGTAGGACCAGAACCAGTTATATGTTTTGACTGTTTTGCTTCCCTCAATCTTTGTCAACTAACTTCAATCATTTCTTCATTCAAACCTTCAACTTGCCTCTTGGATCCCATCCCGACTAGGTTGCTTAAAGAAGTCCTACACTTAGTCGTTACTTCTCTGCTAGACGTGATCAATCTGTCCTTATTAACAGGCTATGTGCCACAGTACTTTAAAGTTGCTGTAATTAAGCCTCTTTTGAAAAAGCCTAACCTGGACCCAGATGTTTTAGCCAACTATAGACCTATATCCAACCTTCCATTCATCTCCAAGGTCCTGGAGAAAGCAGTAGCCAAACAGCTGTGTGACTATCTACATAGCAATAGCTTGTTTGAGGATTTTCAGTCAGGATTTAGAGCTCACCATAGCACAGAGACCGCACTGGTGAAAATTAGTAATGACCTCCTAATGGCATCAGACAAAGGACTCGTCTCTGTCTTGGTTTTATTAGATCTTAGTGCTGCTTTTGACACCATTGACCATCAGATCCTACTACAGAGACTGGAACATTTCATCGGCATTAAAGGAGCCGTTCTAAGTTGGTTTAGGTCCTATTTATCAGATCGGTTTCAGTTTGTGCATGTTAACGATGAGTCCTCCATGCATGCCAGAGTTAGCCACGGAGTTCCGCAAGGATCCGTTCTCGGACCAATCCTCTTTACTTTATATATGCTTCCTTTAGGTAATATTATCAGGAAACACTCTATCAACTTTCATTGCTATGCAGATGATACTCAGTTATACCTATCGATCAAGCCAGATGAAACTCATCAGCTAGCTAAACTTCAAATGTGCCTTCAGGATGTTAAAACCTGGATGACCTGCAATTTTCTAATGTTAAACTCAGCTAAAACTGAAGTTATTGTTCTAGGGCCTAAACACCTTCGTGACGCATTATCTAGAGATATAGTTTCCCTGGATGGCATCGCCCTGGCCTCCAGCACCACTGTGAGAAATCTTGGAGTTATCTTCGATCAGGACATGTCGTTTAACTCTCACATTAAGCAAATTTCAAGAACCGCCTTCTTTCACCTTCGTAATATCGCAAAAATTAGGAGCATCCTGTGTAAAAATGATGCAGAAAAACTAGTCCATTCATTTGTTACTTCTAGGCTGGATTACTGCAATTCCTTGTTATCAGGGTCTTCAAAAAAGTCCATTAGGACTCTTCAGCTGATCCAGAATGCTGCAGCACGTGTTCTTACAGGAACCAGAAAAAGAGATCATATTTCTCCTGTCTTGGCTTCTTTGCACTGGCTTCCTGTTAAATCCAGAATAGAATTTAAAATCCTTCTCCTTACGTATAAAGCTCTTCATGGTCAGGCCCCATCTTATCTTAAAGAGCTTTTAGTACCTTACTGCCCTACCAGAGAACTGCGCTCCCAGAATGAAGGGTTACTGGCAGTTCCTAGAGTCTTGAAAACTAGAATGGGCGCTAGAGCGTTCAGCTATCAGAGTCCTCTTTTGTGGAACCAGGTTCCAGTTTGGGTCCGGGAAGCAGACACCGTCTCTATATTTAAGAGTAGGCTTAAGACTTTCCTTTATGATAGAGCTTATAGTTAGAGTAAGTCCACCCCTGGTTGTGCTGCTATAGGCCTAGACTGCCGGGGGATGCATCATGATGCACCGAGCTCCCCTTTCCTTTCTCTCTCTCCCTCCCGGTGCAACCTCATTCCATTAACAATGTTACTAACTGGACTCTCTCCCTTCCCCGTAGTCGTGTGCTTTCTCGTCCCCCTTCTCTCTTCTCTCTCTTCCTAACACTTTCTGCAGATATTCCTGGCTCTGGAGCTGTGGGGTCTGGATCTGTGGTTGGGAGTCTCCTCCTATCACTTCCTGCAGGTGTTCCTAGAGCTGTGGAGTCTGGATCTGTGGTTGGGAGTTTCCTGCTGCCCCCATGTTCCTGCTCATCATTAGCATTAATATCATTGCCATTTTTAATCTATTCTACGTGTTGCTGTGTTGGCTGCCCCTCTCTGCTCTTTCTGTCCTTCTCTCGCCCTCTCTCTCTCTCTTGCTCTCTCTTTCCCCTCACCCCCAACCGGCCGAGGCAGATGGCCGCCCACCCTGAGCCATGGTTCTGCTCAAGGTTTCTGCCTGTTAAAAGGAAGTTTTTCCTTGCCTGTGTCGCTTAGTGCTTGCTCATGGTGGGAATTGTTGGGTTTCTGTAGTTAACTTCAGAGTAGGGTCTGACCTGCTCTGTTAGGAAAGCGCTGTGAGACAACTGTTGTTGTGATGTGGCGCTATATAAATAAAATTGAATTGAATTGAATTTGCTGGGGTCCCACTGGGTCTTCCTTTTCTGTTTTGCTGGAGGGACCCAGCATTTATCAGTGCATGGGCTACAGAAGCTTTGAAGATTAGGAGATACATTTTTTCCAATGCAGACATCAGGTAGAGGCGCCAGGCATTAACAATGTTCACATCCTGAAAATGAAAAAACACTCGGATGTACCATCACTTGTTTCTACGTCTGTGGGGATACATTGCCACACACTGGTCAACAAGATCCACCCCACCCATGTGTTGATTGTAAAGGGCCACCGAGAAGGGTCTTTGGACACTCATCATGTTTTTTTTCTTTCTTGAGCCATCTTTTGGCCATGTCTTCAGGGACTGACCAGCACAAGTTGACGCCATGTGGATGACTGAACTGTCAAGCCAACGTGTGACAGTGATGTTTCCATTTGTGCTCACAACAGAACAAGCTCCTCTGCCCTCTTTTTTCAGTTGTTTTTCACTCTTGAGTTTCTGACTCGCTCCTTTCACTCTGTTTGCTCTGCATGTTCCTGTGCCATAAATGCCTAGGTCTTTCAAAGCCCCAAGGAGTGGAATGCTGCAAAAGAAATTGTCAAAAAAACACTTTGTGGTTTTTGTGCTTTATGTCCTAACAAAGGCACATCACTACATCTCCAGCCATTCCCAAATCACTACTGTGACCCCTATTTGCTGAACCCTGTTACACTTCAAATCTGTACACATAACCTGAGGACCCTGCACTTTAACTTCCCAGGGTTTGGGCTTTTTTGGTATGTATTGCTTGATTGACAGTTGGGCCTTGAAGGGAATGATTTGCTGATCGATTGATTGGAATTCTTCAGGGTGTGCGGCCGCCAGGAATATTTTCTGAGGTGTACCTAGCACAGGTCTTACTTTGAAGAGCCTATCCGTGTTTGCTGGCTGGTAAGTATAGTTATTCACAAAGTGGAGATAACTCAGAATTTGCTCATATCTGTTTACAGACATGGCATCTGCAATTATTCCTAGACGAAGACCATCCTCACTGGACCAGTACATTCGTGCCCGAGGATATCGAATGTACCCCATGACCATGTTGATCCCAAGAAAAATGTGCATTTCTTCACTTGTCACAGCCAGGTTTTCTTTCCCTTTCTGCAGAGCATACATGTTGGTCTCATAGCTCTCATCAATTAGAGCTATGGGAAACAAATGGCTAAAAAAATCAATGGGTTCCCTTCCCTGAACATTCACTCTCCAGTCTCCTAGAAAAGGCAGCAAGTCTCCATCAAAGTCGTTGTCTTGGAGCTTCCAGACATATTCACGCGCTTGAGGTGTCTTACGAACATTTCTCTGGGCAGGTACCACGTGGACATTTTCCACAGCTCCCTCATCATGCTGACCGTTCTCTGCATCCTGCCCCTCATCATCTTGGCCCTCACCATCCTGACTGTCAGCATCCTGACTCTCTGCATCCCGACTGTCTGGCTCACCTTCATCATCCTCATTTCCTATATCTCTATTGTTCTTAGGCAGCCACTCATCATCACTGTCGTCACTATAATCATCATCACTGGAGTCGGAGGGAATTTCCTGGACTATTCTATAGTCTTCTCTATTATTTGCTGCACTTGTGGTCTAAAAATATGACAAAATTATTTTTTTCCAACACAAACTACAACTAACTTGCACAAAAATTTACAATTTTCAAAGACTAGCATAAATGTACCCAAAATGCACTGAATTGCAATCAAGATAAGTCATAATAAAAGATTAATAAACCACATGACTTGTATTGGAAATATACTCAGAAATGCATGACGCCCAATATTTTCCGCACTATAAGGCGCACCTTCAATGAATGACCTACTTTAAAACTTTATCCATATATAAGGCGCACCCCATTATAAGGTGCATACAATAGACGCTACAGTAGAGGCTGGGGGTTACATCAATTAGATGGAGCTGCGCTAAAGGGAATGTCAACAAAACAGTCAGATAGGTCAGTTCAACTTTATTAATAGATTACAAACCAGCGTAGTTTAAGGTATAACATGTAGTGCAATGTTAATACACCCCACATAGTGGGGGAGAACTTTTCCTCGATTCAATAATAATAATAATAATCACAATATAGTAACACTCGAAATAGTGCAAAGCGATAACAATATATCAATAACTCAACGTTGCTCTAACGTTAATATCACACAACTAACAAAATAAACATGTAAAGCTCACTTTACTAAGTTATTCCTCATCCAGGAATCCCTGGAATTCTTCTTCTTCGGTGTCTGAATTAAACAGTTGGGCGAATACGGGATCCAACATGCCCAGCTCCAACGACGACGAAGTCGTCATTGATCGAGTCAGTGTCGCTGCAGCAGTTAAGTGACAATTCCTGCCTTCCTGAAAGCTCGGACAACAGTTGAGTTACGATCCACTGGCAGATGGTGGCATATGTCGTCCGGCGCTGTCTACCTGTCTTGGTGAACGTGTGTTCGCCTTTTGTCATCCACTGTTCCCATGCAGTTCGCAGTCTAGCTTTGAATGCCCTGTTTACACCAACATCTAGCGGCTGGAGTTCTTTTGTCAATCCACCCGGAATGACGGCGAGTGTTGAATTAGTGTTCTTCACTTGTTTTTTGACACCATCTGTGATATGGGCGTGCATGGAGTCGTAGATCAACACGATCTACGACTCGTGTGAAAAAAGCCACCCGACCTCTTCACGTAAATTTCTCTCAACCACTCGCTCATCTTTTCTTCATCCATCCATCCATTCGAGTTAGCTTTGATGACAACGCCGGCTTGAAAGTTTAGTTTTGGCAAAGTCTTCCTCTTGAAAATAACCAGTTTCTAGAAGTTTCTGGCCATTAGCCTGGCAAGCGAAAACTACAGTGAAGGATGACTTCTCATTCCCTGTGGTGCGAACATTTACCATACGTGCTCCCGTTTTATCCACAGTGCGGTTCACGGGAATATCAAAGGTGAGTGGAACTTTGTCCATGTTGATGATGTGCTCTGGCCGGATTTTTTTCCAGTAATCTTTTTGTTGCAATATGCGCGAAAAGTGGCCAGCTTTTCTTGGTAGTCTTTTGGCAGTTGCTGTGAAACAGTTGTTTGTGTGCGAATGGAGAGATTACGTCTTCTCATAAACCGAAAGCACCAAGAAGGACCGCCTTTAAAGTCATCAATGCCAAGTTCGCTTGCTAGCGCGGTTGCCTTAATTCGAATAGTGATTGTACTGACACTTATACCTGCTGCTCTCTGTTCAACAACCCACTGTTTGTCCTCCAAATGTTGCCATCTCGCTTTATTCCCTCGGAAACTCTGTTTAGTCTTCTTTATTTGGTGAGCCATTTTGGGGTATTTACATAAAAAACAAATGGAAATTAAATATATATACCGGTATATATCCAGCATGCACCGCGCGCGGAAGAAAATGAAGTCGGCGGCTGCTTACCGTAGTTGCGAGACCTGTTGTGGCTCAATATTGGTCCATATATAAGGCGCACCAGATTATAAGGCGCACCGTCGGCTTTTGGGATAATTTGAGTTTTTTTGGGTGCGCCTTATAAGGCGGAAAATGTGGTAATTGGACACATCGTTAATCGCAATTTACAACTTATTTGAAATACAATTTTCAAAACTAAAAGAATTATATTGTTCCTTAGATATTTCTGCATATCATCATAATTTTTTTACCTCTAGGTTTCTTCTGGTATAGAAGGACTGACAAAATAGCAAGACCAGCAGTGGTCGACAGGTTTGGCTGTCTGTCAGCCATCTTGGATTCAGAGGAGGTTCACTTGTAGTTGTAAGAACCTACCACTGAATAAACCATAATGCGCCAGAGGGATGCAGTAAACCTTGTTTCAAGATAAACCAGCTTACATTAAGACAGAGCTTAGTATTTTCTTCTAAATTTGATATATATACACTATATTGCCAAAAGTATTTGCTCACCCATCCAAATTATCGGAATCAGGTGTTCCAATCACTTCCATGGCCACAGGTGTATAAATTCAAGCACCTAGGCATGCAGACTGTTTTTACAAACATTTGTGAAAGAATGGGTCGCTCTCAGGAGCTCAGTGAATTCCAGCGTGGAACTGTGATAGGATGCCACCTGTGCAACAAATCCAGTCGTGAAATTTCCTCGCTCCTAAATATTCCACAGTCAACTGTCAGCTGTATTATAAGAAAATGGAAGTGTTTGGGAACGACAGCAACTCAGCCACGAAGTGGTAGGCCACGTAAACTGACGGAGCGGGGTCAGCGGATGCTGACGCGCATAGTGCGAAGAGGTCGCCAACTTTCTGCAGAGTCAATCACTACAGACCTCCAAACTTCATGTGGCCTTCAGATTAGCTCAAGAACAGTGCGCAGAGAGCTTCATGGAATGGGTTCCATGGTCGAGCAGCTGCATCCAAGCCATACATCACCAAGTGCAATGCAAAGCGTCGGATGCGGTGGTGTAAAGCACGCCGCCACTGGACTCTAGAGCAGTGGAGACGCGTTCTCTGGAGTGACGAATCGCGCTTCTCCATCTGGCAATCTGATGGACGGGTCTGGGTTTGGTGGTTGCCAGGAGAACGGTACTTGTCTGACTGCATTGTGCCAAGTGTAAAGTTTGGTGGAGGGGGGATTATGGTGTGGGGTTGTTTTTCAGGAGCTGGGCTTGGCCCCTTAGTTCCAGTGAAAGGAACTCTGAATGCTTCAGCATACCAAGACATTTTGGACAATTCCATGCTCCCAACTTTGTGGGAACAGTTTGGAGCTGGCCCCTTCCTCTTCCAACATGACTGTGCACCAGTGCACAAAGCAAGGTCCATAAAGACATGGATGACAGAGTCTGGTGTGGATGAACTTGACTGGCCTGCACAGAGTCCTGACCTCAACCCGATAGAACACCTTTGGGATGAATTAGAGCGGAGACTGAGAGCCAGGCCTTCTCGTCCAACATCAGTGTGCGACCTCACAAATGCGCTTCTGGAAGAATGGTCAAAAATTCCCATAAACACACTCCTAAACCTTGTGGACAGCCTTCCCAGAAGAGTTGAAGCTGTTCTAGCTGCAAAGGGTGGACCGACGTCATATTGAACCCTATGGATTAGGAACGGGATGTCACTTAAGCTCATATGTGAGTCAAGGCAGGTGAGCAAATACTTTTGGCAATATAGTGTATATTTTACTAATCTTGAGCTTAATTTGCTAAAAGTAAGTAAACAAAATATGTAATTGCTTATATTTAGTATATTTCACTTATTTTAAGTCTGTAAAAAGTTTACATTTAAGTAATTTAGTCTTAGAAAACAGCAGTTTATGCTTATATTTAGTATATTTCACCTTATTTTGAGTCTGTAAAAAGTACAATTATAAGTAATCTGATCTTAAAACCAGCATTTTATGCTTATATTTAGTATATTTCACTTATTTTGGGGTTGTATAAAGTACAATTATAAGTTATCTGATCTTAAAAGCAGCATTTTCAGCTCATGTTAAGCCTTCCAAATACCTCTGTAGACATGCTTATTTCTAGATTTTATTATATTAATTCAAGAAATTTTGTCAAGTGAAATTATCTTGCCGCATGGACAGATAATTTCACTTGTTTTGAGTACATTTTACCTCAAATCTAGTGTTTTTATATTGTTTTCAGACACCCCTTTTTTGCAGTGCAGTCGACTTTGCTGAAAAACCTCGCACAGCTTTTTTTATGTTTTTTTTAGTGTCCATGTGAGCTTAGAGATCTCCTCACCTTTATTAGACACTAAAACATCTGTCCCAGCTTTGCACACGGTGTACTTAGCCTCCCACTTGTCACAACCGGGATGGTACGTGGGACTTTTATTTTTGCAGTTTGTCTGTGAAGCTGCACTTTCGTTTGGGCATTTTGTCTCCACTGCTGGTCGCTCTGCTCCCTGTGTGTGTGTGTGTGTGGGTGTGTGTGAGACCCCCCCTCAAGGCAGTCCCTCGAGAATTACGTTGGGCAACAAAGTACCGTAGTATTCTGTGCAAAGCGCCAGGCGATTTAAGAATACGATTATGGTCCCATGAAAAACAGTGAAAGCCGGAGATTTTCATGAATTTATAATCCCCCTCCGGACGCAGGATGTAAAAAGTGGACATGTCCGGGCAAAAGAGGACGTTTGGTCACCCTAGCATAGCCTAACTACATTACACACATAACTTTAATAATCTTAAATGTGTTTGTTAAAACATAAAAAATTCTAGCTTTTTAAAAATTTTGCAGTAATCATAATTTGCAGCAGTTTAACATAGTGAATCACAGAGCCCATGTCAGGGCTTTTAGCTCCCCTGGGAGTTACCCATTTCTCTGAAAGTTTTCATTTAGTAATAAAGATACAAATACAAAAATACACTTTGTGTTGTCTTTTGCGTTGCTTTTGTCCACAACTAGACAGCTTGCTGAGAGCTGTCATCGACTAATTTTTGCATCATGGCATGAACTTAGCTAGGCTAGCGAGCGCTAGCATTGTCCAAATAGATAAAACCTCAAACTTTGCTAGGCTAGCGAGTGTTACCACTGTCCAAACAGACATTAAACCTGTATAACAGCACTTCCTGTCCTCTCTCTGGGTTCTTGGGCAACATGTGCATTGCTGAAGTTCTGT